ATATTTCGAAATTTAAGGACGCTAATTTACTTAAAATGTATACACCCCGGCTTATCATGTAGCGGTAGCTTTCGGAAAGGTGGAAAACATATATTTAATACTTGCGCCGGGTATTTAATGTTCGGCTCCGTCCGAACTTAGACTTTCTTACTTGTTTTTACTTCATCGTTATCATTTATTTCTTCATCTTCATATTTATCTTTATTTCAAGGCTTAATTTCAAATGTGAAGTGAAACAACATGAGAAACATGTTAAATTGAACATGTTGCAGCAACATCTATACAAAAATCCGAAATATTTAAACGACGGTTTTGGCCGTAATTTTCAACCAATTGCGAAACCAACCAACCAACCGGAAAAATGCCTTTCCAACGGTGTTCCTGGTTTTGAAATCGGTTTGGTAGAATCGCCAAACGAACGGAGACAAAATTTATGTTAGCGTATTAATATATAGATAAAAAGTATTAATACACAGAATATCAGTAAATATAATAGTAATAACATATATATTAATAATAATTAATATCGTAAAACCGATACATCATTTACCAAGCTGGCAACACTATTCCGATATTGACATATCGATCTCTGCAAAAATCCCCCTTTTGGGAGAGTGGGACACATTGCAACACAACAGATGACGGAAAACAATAACAAACTAATATAACTTAAACCAGATAGTAAAAAAAAGTTAAAAATGTGGAAATATACAGTTTGCTGCGCAATGGCAACTGTTTAAGCAATGAATAATATAAAAGGACATCGCAAAAGGACCCGTTACTCAAAAAGTGACTGCAGCGATGGATACACGGGCAATTGGCGAACTGTTCAAGGCGATGGGCGTGAAGGACGGCACTTTGAAAGTGCGTTTGCGCCGCCTGACTGAAGCAGAGATCAGGCAACATACTGTCGTTGGTGAAGGAGAAGGCANTGCCGCGCAAAGGCTACTGTTTCCGAAATGAATAATATAAAAGGACATCGCAAAAGGACCCGCTACTCAAAAAGTGACTGCAGCGATGGATACACGGGCAACTGGCGAACTGTTCAAGGCGGTGGGCGTGAAGGACGGCACTTTGAAAGTGCGTTTGCGCCGCCTGACTGAAGCGGAGATCAGGCAACATACTGGCGTTGGTGAAGGAGAAGGCGTCGAAGACAACGCAAGTGAGGCGAGCACCGAAATATACGTGCGCGAAGGTGGAGACAGTGGCGCGAGTGATGTGGGGTGTTGGAGTCCTGCATCATACTATAGCAGCGGCTATACGCCAAGAAGTCCGGAAACAAGCAACGGGGTTGGTAGCCAAACGCCAATCGAAATATCCGGCGAGAGCAGCGACAATGATGATGAGTGGCATCGAGGCGAAGTTGTAAGAGAACCTACGCCGATCGAAGTATCTGATAACAGCGACGACGAGCTGCGCCGAGGCGAAATTACCATCACGGAAGAGAACTGCCAACGCCCAGGTGAGGGCTACATAGAGTATGTCCGGCGCATCACAATGACGATGCGCATTTTCAACGGGGCGTCACAGAGCGCCGAATCGTGGCGGCCACCACCTGCGCAGGCATTGTGCGACGTAACAGCGGCGACAGTGGCAGCTGACATCAGAGATGAGGATGACAGCGATGAGGAGAATGCGCTCACCCTGTCGGTAGAGGAAGACCGCGGGTTGGAGCAGTGGTTAGAGGAGTTGGCCAATACAGAGCCAGCAGACCCGATGATGATCCACGAAATCGAACGCTGGTTGCAGGACGACAATATACAGCTAGAAGCGCTACTCGGTAACTGGCGAAACTTCAGCGGCACAAACCCGGTGCCAAGGGAACTGGTAAGGGTCATTCAGGAGCGGCTGCAGCGACAACAAACTAAACGCCAGACATTCAGGCATGCGGTGGGCACAATGGTGTACCGCGAACGTATTACAAGCGCGGGGATGGTGACAATCACGCGTCCAGAGGGAAGTAAAGGTGGGGTGTGAAGACCCGAAGTCCCTACACTCAAGGACTTCACAATTGGCTATCATATGTTATTGAACTGAATTATATTTTGAATTGTTAAATACATATATGTATATATATATATATAGATATAAATGTTGAATTTATTTATACATATTAAATGAATTGTTAATTATATACATACGTGAAATCGAAATACATATGTAGATATTTATATTAAAATTTGAAGTACATACATACGGACTTAGGTATGAACAAGTAAAAGCAAGTAAAGAAAATATTAGCAACAATGTTGTTAGGATAACTGTCTGCCTCCGTGCAGGACAGTATAAATAGAGCAGCAAATGTAATTTGAGATCACTTCTGGTAGAGTAGTCGTATACTCCAGTCGATCGTGCAAACGCAGATTGGAACGGCTAAGCAACGATTGTGAAGACTAAGTTGCTTAGTAGGTACCCAGTAGAAATCGGTTGTATGCATTCTTGAAGGATGCTTGCTATATGAGTGAATTAGTGTGAACGATTCATGCGTAGTCATGAATTTCCACGAATAAATTCAAATTCTAGCGAATTGCAAGCGAATGTACGTTGTCGTTGTTTTAAGTACATTTCTTGATAAATTTGAAGTGGAATTTTTGTAATATTTTCAGTCTTGTACAAAAATTTTAGTGAACGGACGTGTTGTGCGATACTATTTTCAGCACAAACGGGCTTTTACAAGATATGCATTTGCATATGTAAATGCTACTTGTTTGTATGTCCCCGTATATTAAAATGTATCAGAAAAGTAGCATTTACATATGGGGATACATATCTTGTAAGAATGCTTTAATACTGTTCCATTAATGCATTTTTGTTATGTTTGAAATATTAATACAGCTATATGCATACAGCAGTAGTACAAGTGTATGATTAAGGTACGCATACGCTCTGAGAAACCACGCGTGTTAAATGGAAATGAAGGTTCATTTATACTGGCATGTATACACAGCAGCAAGCTCATGCCACCAACAGCGATGTTGTATGCAAAAGATTTCTACTGGGTAGTTAAGGTATATGGTGTGATGTGAAAATGCTGCCAAAGCAATAAGTTATATTGGTGTGACGTGAAAACGCTGTCAAGGAAATGCGTTATATTGGTGTGACGTGCAAACGCTGCCAACTAAATAGCGAAATAAAGTTGCGTATTTATTTTAACGTTTGGATAAGGGAACCCAACATCCGACTGAGTCACAGCCCAGCTATAGACCGGATAAACCGGGTTCGTTACAGTTTTTACGAACGTGTACTTAGCAAGCATTTTCATTTACATACCCAATAATATTTTAACATTGTGTATTAGTTATATTGCCGCGTATAGTTTTTTTATCCGCTTGTCGTTTGTTTGTAGTTGTTGAGTCATATACCCAACAAAAACTTTTAACTTTTTTGGGAAGTACTTATTTTTGTATCAATGGAGTAATGCAATACAAGTCGCATCAAGACAATTTTCGCTTATCCATTGCATTACAGTAATGCAATGGATAAGCGATAATTCTCGTGAGGTGACTTGTATTGCGTTACTCCATTGATACAAAAATAAGTCCTTTCCAAAAAATGAAAAGTTTTTGCTGGGTATGTACCTACATACATACGTATACTTACATAAATACATATGTACATAGCTGCCACGTTTTTGTTGTTGCTTAAGACCAATATTTGAATTGCGTCTTGATTTGTGGTATCCTTTCCCAGGGTGCCGGCTCCACAGGTGCTCTGTCAGTTGTTAGTGATCTCCTACCTGCTGGTAGCTTGAATGTACGTATGCCCGCTAGTTGTCGATCAACGGTATCCGATACCGAATACGAAAATGTAAGTAGCTATGATTCCAAATGTAACTTAAGATATTTAATTTATGGTTGTACGGCGATTTTTATTAATTAACTCTCCCTTATTTACGTTGTTTGTGTTTGATAGTGCGAGTGAACTGAAAATTTCGAATGAAAGCTATACCGAAGCCATGATTCAATTATTATTCATTCATTATTATTCAATTACTACTGATTCATTATTGAATCATGAGCGAACCCCACTTTTAGAATATACGTAATTTTTATGAAACAAACTAAAAATTTGCATTCAAAGTGCTTGGTATTAAACAACAAATACTCTGTCCTGTCCTTAGAACTTTTAAAACTGAATTAAAAAATAGGGAACTAATTTAAATCTTGCTTTAAAATGCAATCAAATGTTTCTCCTTGCCATGTGACTTTTAGACTACAACGTCAAAGGACTCAAAACGTAGCTCCGGCAATATTTGGTCTGGAAAATCAACGCTCAGCGCTGGATTTAGGTATACAGGCGGACATTTGATTAATACGTCTTCCTCTCCATCACCTGATACTCCTAGAGTGTACCTTTTTGAAGGATTGATTGGACGGGATCGTTCGAATTTGTGGAACCAAATGCAATTCTGGGAGGATGCCTTCTTGGATGCAGTGAGCCAAGAACGCGACATGATCGGAATGGATCAGGTGAGTAATGCAAAAACTATAAATTTTGTTATTTAAAAATTAAAACGATACTAATAAACTTTTTATTGGAAAAATATCACTGCGAATAGTTCCGATAGGGGCTGGGATCCTATCCACCATTGAGGCCCATCTGAAACCCGCCCTGGCAAACCCATAAGCAGCCTTTTATCCGTTAACTAAATATTGTATACACATAATTATGGCTTTGCTGAAATATGTCTCAAACAAAAGATATAGATTTAAATAGATAGGGGGATATTCGTGGCCGACAAAAATTATGCCAAAGAACTGCAGCTAACTTTAGTGTTGACTTTATTTTGACTGTGAACACGCCTCACACTTTCTAGTTCTTGGTACAAAAATGTATTAAACAAACAAGTTTACTTTGAAAATCGACATTATATATTCTGTCTTCCACTTTTATCTTTCTTTCTACTCCAGGGACCCATCGAAATGATGGAGCGTTATAAAGCACTTAGCGAAGAGGAACGTAAACGGTTAGAGCACGACGAAGATCGACTACTCTCGACAATGCTGTACAATCTCACTGCCATTTTGGTAATGTTGGGCGTTAACAAAGAGGAAATACGTCGTAAGATCCGTCGTCTTTTGGGCAAAAGTCACATTGGTTTGGTTTATTCAACCGAAGTGCACAATGTCGTAGACCAAATAAATAATCTCGTGAGTGGAAATCTTGCATTTCCTCAAATTATCACACGGCTATAATAAAACTTTTACTTTCCACAGAATGGCAACGATATCGACTTAAAGCCGCTTGGGTCGAGACTTCTGCATCACCAGAGTTTCACCGTACATCCCGGTTCTGATGCCAACGGCCCACTTCTATTCATGGAGGTGCGCGACGATGGTCTAGTGGTACGCTCCGTTGATGGCACAATCGTAGAACGTTGGTTCTATGAGCGCCTTGTAAACATGACGTACTCCCCTAAAACTAAAGTACTCTGCCTCTGGCGTCGCAATGGTGGACAAATACAACTCAATCGCTTCTATACTCGCAAGGTATGTAGTTTTTAAAAATGTTTGTATACACATTTGACAACTTTTTTTGGAGAAACAGTGCAGGGAACTGTACAACTGCATTAAGGAGGCCATGGAGCGCAGCGGCACACCGAAGAATGTGCCAGAGTTGGGTGGTGAGTTCCCAGTGCAGGATATGAATACCGGCGAGGGTGGCCTATTGCAGGTGTGCTTGGAGGGAGTTGGTTTGTTATTTTCTAACAGCAAGGTAAGTAAATTGGTTTTAAATAACTACGAGTAGGTATATAAAAACTATGCATAACTCTCACTTCAAAAATAAAAAAATGCAAATGCGCATTTATGGTGTAAAAAAAAAACTAAATTATTTTTGGGAAGATGTTCAAAGTAAATTACCATTTTAAGATATTTTCCAAAACCTTTTACGCCTACTTTCGATACTTTTTAATTGTAATAGTTTTTGTGAGATTATGAAATTATAAAGCTACGTCAACGAATTTCATGATTTTATTTTATTTTCATTCTTCAACTTCAGCCACTTATTTTATTTTGTGTTCACTAAAATGGTTATTTATTTACGAAAAAACAAAAATCATGCATTGTGAAGTTTTTCATACGATATTCTTGTTTATGTATAAAAGCAAGGACCTTCTCAATTTGCATTACAATTTTTACTAGTAATTAAACGAAATTAAAATGCAGGTTAAGATTTTTTTAAATGCGCATATCGACGCTGAGGATTTAGTAGCAATTTCCTCCGATAGTCCCAACCATTGGAATAAGAGTAGATTATTTTGTAGTGTTTGCTTTTATTTGTAACTACATCCATTTTAATTTTGCACCATTTTTAGTTGTAGTTCTATGCATACTCTACTACATTTGCTCCAACGGCTGACAAGTAGATTGAAACTTTATTATAAAGCCTAAAATTAAAGATTTTCATCATAAGTAATAACCCCCAATAAAAGGTCCACCGAAAGTTATTTTTATAAAAGCGCAAGATTACGAACAGATATAAACAAAAAGCGCAAGAGTTAGCTTTCAGCACACTTTCTTCAATTACATAATTAACTAAGCCGAAATCAAGAGGTTTTCGGACCACGTATGTACATATGTATATTAATGCACTTATTGCGAAAAAAGAATTTGAATTACCTAACCGTATACCCAGGCATCCTGTGAGGTAGTGAAAGGTAACACATTGAGTGAGTGTTTTAACGTCCCGTTGCATCTCAAAAATAAAAGCGAGACAATAGAGATTATTTTCCTGCTTCCAAAAGTTGTCTTCAAGAAAAATAAGTTCAATAACTATGGTCTACAAATATGTACTAATCTAACATCTCCCAAGATTAAGTACTCCCTTTGATAAATGAAGTATGTAGATCCTTTAGTATAAATACAAAAATTGTCATATTCGTATTTCTTACAAATAATTTATTGCAAACATCCATTTTTAATAAATTAGTTATATGGGATGTGGGCAAAATTTTCAGCCGTTTGTTATGCTTTGCCAATACCAACATATGTATTGATAAGTGGCCAAAAAATTATAATATTCGTATTTTCCGCCTAAAGATGATTTCAAATATCACTTTTGAGTGAAAAAGCTTTAGTAGTTACTAAAATATCGCAGTTTTCGTATTTCCGCCAGCTACCGTTATACGGTTGGTAGGCGTGGTTATTGTCCGATTTTGCCCATTTTCAATACCATCCGTCCTACGCTCAATGAAGTACAAATATAAAATTGTTAAGATATCTCAATTTTTACTCGAGTTATCGTTTGCACAGATGGATAGACGGACGGGCGAACACACAGATAGTCAAGGCTTTATCGATTTCTCGTTTCATTCTGAGCATTCATGTATACATACATGTGTATATATGTAACTCGATTCCCATGAACCAAAAAGACAAGATCACGACAGCAGAAGAGTGGCCCGTTATAATCGCACTTATGAAAAAAGTAGGGCGATTTTGACATAAGCCGTTTGTTTACATTTGTTCGTTGTTTACAATTTGGTGGTGGCTTTTTACTGCAATTTTCTTAATTTTCGCTTGTGACAACGTGTGCACACATAAGGTAAAGAATAATTTAACACAACGACATGTTTTATAGGAGAATTTGCATAATAAAAATGATTATTCATGCGTTCAACAATTACGCGTTTTTTTTTTGTTCTCTTCGTTGTTTACTTCTTACAACAAAGATGGCGTCGAGATTTCAACAGCTAGAAAATAACTTTTTTCTTTCTTTCCTTAAGGCGTGATCTTGTGTCTTTCGTTCATGCTCGATTCCTTCAGACTGTTACAAACCACCCTTATATGAACAAAGTTATGCACTTGTGCACAAGTGCGCTCGGGTATAAGAATCTTAATGCGCTTCTTGGTCTAGCGAATGCATACTAAACACAATGAAAGACCCACAATGTTTTTCAGTAATGACTATGGATACCATACGCTAGCCCCGTGGGTTGTTATCCGTTTACTTATCAAGTTGCTGCCCTGCTCTTTTCTTTAAGAAGCGCTTAATTGCTTTGCAAGATCTGTTGTATACACAGTTTCGAGGGTACCTGCAAAAATTACGCTCATATTGGAATGTAGGCGAGTCGTAAATGCGTAGTTTTTCACCGGTCCATTTGCTCTATAAGCTTTTTTCTCTTAAGAAAGATAATATACTTATACGGTCGATTACTTTTTTAGTCATACTAGCAGGAAATCAGAAAGCATGATTACTTTGATACATTGAGCTGATTATAAGTTTTCAACATGAAAATTGCTAAGGAAAAATCTTTGTATGGATCTGTCCGTAAACTACTATGAAATATTTAACAACCTATAAATTCATTTGTATTTTACGGTAAACAAAAGCAGAGTACTGCGTAAAATTTTGCGGAAATGACCTTCACGTGCGTAATATTTTACGGGAAAATCTTATATCTCAAATCAAAGATAAGCTTGAAAAATACTATGGATGCGATCAATTTGCAATGGTGGTTTATTGAATTTCTTTGTAACCGTACAGACACGAGGTGCGTCGAATGTTCTGGACGCAAAATTGAATCACTACACCCCAAAGAATAGACAATATCCAAGTAAATTATTGACCGATCGCAAGATTGTATAAACCATAGGCATTTCGTATGTATACATTGCTCACATGCTTAAATTTTATTATAGGTTTATTTTTAGGAAGCATCACAAAATTGGGTAAATATTTCGCATTTGCAAAAAAAAAAACAAAGCTAGCGGTAGGAGAAATACAAAATGTGTATGCGCCCCGGTAAAATTTCATCTATGTAGCTTTTATCCCTGACTCTTCCGGTTTATTTTCAATGTTTGGAGTTACAACCCTGACGAATGATAAGAAAAAGAAGATGATACTTAGATTGAGTGGGCCATGCTACATACATTAAATTGATGTCAGGATTGATTATCATGCCCAATAGTCAAATTGTACACAAGAACGCAGTCAAGTTTAGTGAACCGCGGATATATTAACGAATTATTACCGATATTGTGATTGAAATATAATTTAAAACTAATCTACCTCAACTTTTATGTGAATGTATTTTTTACGAATAATCAGATATGTATATTGAATAGAGTTCACTCATTTGATTTTTACTTATTTTATTAATTTTATTCAAATCGTCAAAACGTACATAGCTTTTTACCATATAGCGAATAATTGATTTTTTCGAAATCTTTCATTTGCATCGTTAAATACACACCCCCACTCATTATTTAATCAAATTTTTTTCAACAATTTTTGGTTTTATGCTATCCAAGGCGAATTTATATAAGGTGATGTTACTAGATCAGCTGATTTTGTGTATGTGTTTCGCCTCGTGGCTTCTTATGTCAAATTGAAATATTTTGTTTGCATTTCCACACACACTATTACAGATTTTGACAGTTCACGCCGCAAAAGCAAAAACAAAATACATGTACATTTTTGTTTTTGTACTGCTGCTATCACCCTATATTAATTCGCCTTGATGTTATCAAAACATTTTCAAATATATGAGTACACATGCAAAGCAAAAACAAAACAAATGTTTATATAAACTGCTAGTGAATGTACTGAATGCCAAATACTAAATCATATTTATCAATTTAAATAAAAATTTTATTTACTAACAGCTGCTCCAATACCATATTTGCTATTTAATATTATCATCAATCATAATTACTATTATTATAATTTAATTTTCTTTTACTCCACATAAATATGTATATGTACGTAAATATTTATGAACGAAAATAAGACGACTATTCGGTTAGAAAAAAATTAAAAAATAGCGGTTTTGATAACTACATAAGTTCTCAGGGTTTCTTAGTGAAAAGGAATATTTTATTAAAATTATGAAATATTATATGTAAACGTGTAAAAGTACATATTTTCTATATACATATTGTGCCACTCTTTACCTCTTTCTCTATCTCTCTATTTTGAAATTTAAAAAACACTTTCTTTTTATTGCTATTATTCCATTCACTCAGTAAAAATTGTCCACTATAAATTTGTTTTTAACCTTCTTAAACACAAATGTAATTCAATTCGTAAAACTCTATTGAAATAATATAGTCTACTTTATTTGTTCCTGTTTACGATTAGGCTTATTTAAATCGAAAAATGTCTCGTGATGAGTGATAGTCAAGCATATTGCATTTTCGTTTCTTTCGCTGATATTTAATTAATATTTAAATACTCATTTGAAGTTTTGTGTCTTCATGTAAATACATACTTAAACCAGAAAATATGAAATCTTTTTTATTCAATCACATTTTTCTACTTTTTAAATGTTTCTTCCATTATAAATTTTTTTACGCATTTTTTTGGATTAGCCTTTTGGAAAATCGTTAGCTTTGTTGAAATAAATCACGAAAGCCAAAACTTTAAATGGCACTAAATAGTTAAAATATTGAAAATTTTCTGAAAAAGAGAATTTTTTTAAATTGGTAACTTTTGAGATGGTCCTTGTGTACATTCGCTATGTTAAGTTAACTTCTGATCTAATCAAACTTCTTAGTTGGATTTTTTTGTTTTTACTTGTTTTGCTCTTTATCAGGATTTTTTCTAATTTCGATGGCTAATTTTCACTCATTATTTTATTTTAGTTTTTATATATTTTTATATTTTAGTACTTTATTCATATATTAATTTTCACTGTTATTCGAGCTTTTCAAATCATTTTTTAAGTTTTCCCTAGCTAGAAAATTAAATATAAGCACTAGATATTTTTACTGCAAATCAGTGATTTTAAGAGAGATATCTTCTCAGTCCTAAACAATCGAAAATTAGCAACAAAAAATTTTAAGAAGTCTAATTGTTTAATTATATTTTTGTATCGTTTATAACTACCTATTACTCGTTTTTTTATAAATATCATGCGGATCGCTGCCGCTCTTCTTTTTGGATTAACTCGATACTACTCGTTTCTTCGTACTCGAATTTGTTCGATTGGTGAATAATCCGTAACATTCAATGCTCAAAACGAAAACAATCAAACAAATCTTGCAATTCGAAAAGGATTTCGAGGTACTGAAAGTGTTATTACTTCATTTCTCTTAAAACAAAGAAAAATTATAACAAAAGTTCATTTTTAATAAAAACTAGAGTACTCAACTAAAAACAAGTTACATTTACTCGTACATAAAAATACATTTATTGCGTTTTTATTTCGAATGAACTAAGTAGCCTTATTATATTCGTGTAACTCTGATAAACATTGTTTTTTTTTATTTAGTTTTTTTTTTTTGTTTTAGTACAGCTTTCTACTTTAAAAGTCACCATAAACAGCGCTGAGGTTTACAGTGAAGCCTATCTTTAGAACACTCACTCACACACACGCTTGTTAAGTATTTGTACTTCACTGAAACTTATAAAACTAAGTATTTTACGCAGTTTTACGTTGTTTTATTGAATATGAGTATTTAGACATTGTGGAGATTTGAGTTGGTTTAGTTGTAATCAACAATGATATATAGTCATACCCTTAAAATATGCCACTACTCCTCCTATTTTATTTATACTTTTCGTTTAATATGTGTATTTTCGTTTTTAGTAAGGGCGGTTTATAACATATGTACTATATACATTAGGCAGTACCAGTAGAATCTAGAGAATTTTGCAAAGCAATTTCGAAAACAAAATTTTTATAGCCAAACGTTTGGTCGCATTTTTATATTTTTCGACATATGTATCTTCGGCATTTATAGTCGGATTTTAAAGTATTATATATCAATGTTTTTTGTCTCGATGCAAGGCAATTGAAAAAATACTTTTGTTTGCCGAACATAAGGGTCGCCTTTTTTACATTGTTCGTCATTCCTTCGACATTTATAATCGGATTTTAAAGTATCATATATCTATGTTCTTGCCTTTGGAGAATTTTTTGTTGGTTGTAAAGTTTATTAACCTCAAGTACCCCATTCCAGTACTTACTTAGCAGATCTCAGTTCACCCTAACATACCACCCTAACCTTGGTAAATTAAAACTAAAATTTGTTTAATTTTTGCCAACTATATCCAAAATTGCAGTAGAGCTATTTAAAAGAAAGATTTAAGACCATGGAAGCTCACTTAAAAAAAAACTGAAAGTGTTCTCCAAATCGCCGAAACGAAAGAAGTGCAATCTAGAAATTCAGCCAAGTTCTTATATGTTATCAAGTATGGTGCAAAGTTCTCCTCTTACGCCTGTGGAATCTATTTCGCTGACTGGTTTGAATCCTCCCGCGACAGATATTGCTAAGGAATCTCCTACTGTAATTCCGACAACTACATCTACGGACACTTTGTTAGTCTCTAGTGGCATTAGTTCTGCTGCTACCTCCAATCAAATTGCATTGATACCTGCGACAATCTCATTAGGCTCACCGCTTGTTTCTCAAACTCCAATAACTACATCTACTCGCTTTTCGGTAGCCTTTAATGTTACAAGTGTTGCCGCTACCACCAATGAAATAGCATCAATATCTGCGGCTTAAGACTGGTTTTCACTATGTCATATTTTGACGCCAAAACTTGCCGACATATTTTGACACAACTTTATCTCCTTTATCTATACCTTTACCGATAATATTATGGGCCAAAAACTGACAGATAGCCGATTTAGCAGGGCACGTACCCGACTAAAGACCTATCCTGATCGAAATCAATCGATAGACCGCTTTCTAATCCCACTTGACAATGTGTTTTCACTTATTTGACGACAAATGCCACTGAATTTGACATAGTGAAAACCAGCCTTTACGATCCTGGAATTGTTAACGTGCCCGCAGCCCCTCTACTGACAATGTCTTCGTTTACAACATCTGGAATTCCACCTGTTGCTCCTAGAGAGGTGACTGCCGTCGCGCCTCGTAAAACCGTTTTTGTATCAAGGCTTCATGCATCGTTGACTGAAGCTGATATTATTCATTACGTGCGCTCTAAGCTTTATCTTACACCTACTAGCAATATCGAAGTTTATAAATTTAACTTTAAATATAAAAGAGATATTTCTTCTTTTAAAATATCAGTTCCTGACGCATATGTTCTTTTTGGCCTGAACATTCTGTGGTACGTCTGTAGAAAATAAAATCGTATATTGAACCTCCAGCAGTAAAGAAGTCAAACAACTCAAAAGGCAATACTGTAGGAACATTACAGACGTGAATTCTAATTCGTTCAGTCTTATTATTCATTACCAAAATGTTCATGGGTTACGATCCAAATTAAATTCTTTTTTCTTAATAGCTTTGCATTTACAGCTCAAGTGATCGTTTTTAAATCGTAAGACTTTCATTCCGCAGCTTTAGTCTATTTATTTGTTGTTCGTTTATTCCGCCTCGATCTGATATGAATGTTTATAATCATCATAACTCAGCCATACAATATTTATATTCTCATTTGCGAGATAAAGATCACTTAGTAGTTCTTGGTGACTTCAATTTGCCATCAATAAGCTGGATTAATATTAGTGACTCAAACTCTTTGACTCCCACTACTCAGCATGACTTTCTTGGATGTCTGCTAGAAACATGTCTCGTACAGGTTAACAACGTATTAAATTGCAAAAACAAGACGCTGGACTTGGTATTTGTGGACGATTTGGCGGGTATTGCTCTCACTCAAATTTCTCCTTTATCCCTTCCAGAGGATCCTCTACATCCTACGCAGGAGATAGTACTTGATATAGCCAGTTACTGGTGTATTAAGAGTAGAACCTAGACCTCGTTCTCGATGTTTTCATAGAGCAAACTTCATTAAGCTTAATGAAATGATTGCTCACCACGACTGGTCAGATCTATACGCCTGCAATGACGTTGAGACAGCAACTTCCATATTTTACTGCTCATTTGATTGCTTCTTTGACAGCTGCATCCCTCTTTGTTATGTTAGTGTTGGAACGTGTAAGCCGCCTTGGTTCTCTAGACAACTTGTGAGGCTTAAAAACATCAAATCTTAGCGCTTTAGAAGATCTGGAGCAACTGCTGGCTCTTCGAAATATTTAGTCGTTCGTTCTAACTTTCATTGTCTAAATCAGCAATGTTATAATGACTACTTAGCCCGCTGCAAAATCCAATTTTTCAACAATCCGAGAAAATTTTATAGTTTTGTTAATTCAAAGCGGAAAACTTCTGGATTCCCTTCTGCACTTTCTTTTGGATGCAAGAATGCTAGTTCTGATCACACTATTGCGGACTTATTTGCAGAATTCTTTAAATCGACCTATTCACCTAAAAGTGTTCGATCTGGTCACTATCCGTATAATTTAGCTCATTCTAACTGCATTCTCAATCCTGTTATTGATAATAATATTATTCTTCGTAGTCTTCAAGCGTTAAAACCGATATTTTCTCCGGGTCCTGATGGCGTTCCTAGTTGTGTGCTAAAGTACTGTGCTGAAAATTTATCTGAGCCCATCCTAAAACTATTTAAATTATCACTACAATCAGCGTCATTTCCATCAATTTGGAAGCAATCTTTTATTATACCTCTACATAAAAAGGGTAGTAGGTCAAATATTGCAAACTATAGGGGCATAACTAAGCTTTCAGCTATTCCTAAAGCTTTTGAACAGATTATTACCTGCCAACTTCAACACCTGTGCAGTTCTTTGTTATCACCTTGTCAAAATGGGTTTGTACGTCGAAAATCAACCACTACCAACTTGCTTGAGTTTACTTCTTTAGTAATTAATGGATTTTTAAATAATAAGCAGACTGACGTGATCTACACTGATTTTAGTAAGGCATTTGACTCTGTAAATCATGAGCTCCTTATCCATAAACTAGATTTACTGGGTTTTCCTAAACACCTATTAATATGGCTCGCAAGCTATCTTTCAAGCAGGACTCAAAAAGTTTTGTTCAGGCATACGCTTTCAAAATCGATTGATATCACCTTTGGGGTACCTTACTTTTTACCTTGTTCATAAATGACTTACCACAGATTATCTCGCACTCCCAAACTCTTATGCACGCGGATGACGTGAAACTTTGTTTCACGTATTCGCCTTCAGACGGGCATTGTTTGGGTCGTCTTCAAGACGATTTGGACTCATTTCATAGCTGGTGTTCATCAAATCTATTAGTTTTAAATTGCTCTAAATGTAAGCACATTACATTTCATAGATGAAAGCCAGTTTTAGCAACTTATAAAATAAACGGTATTCCTTTAGAGCGCATATCTGTTAGAAATTATCTTGGTGTGCTTTTTGATCCAAAATTGAGTTTTAACTTGCATATATCATCGATCGTAAACAAAGCCATGGGTGTACTTGGATTTGTTAAAAGGTGGACTAAAGAGTGTGAAGATCCGTACGTCACGACGATTCTTTACACATCGTTGGTCCGTCCAGTACTGGAGTATTGTTCGTCTGTCTGGTGTCCTCGATACCAAAATTATATTAAGCGAATTGAGTCAGTACAAAAGCAATTTTTAATTTTTGCATTACGTGGACTCAAATGGAGATCAGATCTCCGTCTTCCACCTTATAAAAATAGGCTCCTTCTCATTAGTTTATCAACTCTTGAAAATCGTAGAATATTACTCGGGGTAATGTTTCTCCATAAGTTCATAATCGGCGAGATTGACTCGTCTTACCTTGTTACCCAACTTAATTTTGCTGTTCCTGTTAGAACGTCTAGACACTTTGTGCCTTTTCATTTATCCTTTGCTGTCTAAACTTTGCCAAAAACAACCCGCTGCGTAATTGGTTTTCACATTATAATGATTTGTATAGCTGTATCAGTATTGAATGTTCGGTTACTGCTTTACATAACGCAATACTAGCGCGTCTAGCCTGATATTTTAAAAGATTCAGTGGATTAAATGTAAATTATATTATATTATTGTTAACGCTTATTAAAATCTTTATTTATTCTATATACATATGTATGTATCCTATCATATACATAACTTTAGTAGTCGACCGTTTTATATCTATGTCGACTTAAAACAATTAAAATAAAATAAAATAAAGAAAAATTGTGTGCCAAATGTAGGTGCCACTGAAAAATATAGACCCCTACGTTCACAAAAATCTAAATTTT